TGTAGTTGATACTGTGCTCCTTCTGTGTTCTGATACTGTTTGCTTATGATTAGTTTCTCTCTGTCCTTCTCCTCTCTCTCTCTCTTCTCTACTTCCTCTCTCGTCTTCTCTGTCTCTGTCTCTCTCTCTCTCTTCCTCTCTCTCTCTCTGTGTGTCTCCCTCCCTCCCCCCTCTCTCAATTCAATTTCTCTCTCTCTCTCTCTCTTCTCTCTCTCTCTCTCTCTCTCTCTCTTCTCTGTCTCTGTCTATGTCTCTGTCTCTCTGTCTCTCTTCTCTGTCTCTGTCTCTCTCTCTCCCTCTCTCTCTCTCTGTCTCTCTCTGTCTCTCTCTCTGTCTCTGTCTCTCTCTCTCTGTCTCTCTCTGTGTGTCTCCCTCCCTCCCCCCCTCTCTCAATTCAATTTCTCTCTCTCTCTCTCTCTCTCTCTCTCTCTCTCTCTCTCTCTCTCAGGTCCACTGAGGCCAGAGTTCACGATCACCTATGTGGCGGTGTCAACCATTTTCTTCAACAGTGGCCCTGTCATTAAAAACAGAGGTAAAGAGACGTTTACATTCAGCGTTAGTGAATCAGACTCCTCGGTCTAATGATTTGCGAAAGTCTGGACTGCACAGATAGTTTAGTTACCACATAATGGCCGGTTTTCCAAAAGCTATTTAATTGCAGATTCTCCATTGAGCATGCATTTTCATCCCGGCCCAAAGGGTTTTGTTTGCATGGTTCATTGATACTGCTCTCCCCCTCCCCATATTGCTCTAGGAGTTGACCGGTTTGATGCTTCTCCCTCCCCATATTGCTCTAGGAGTTGACCAGTTTGATCCTTCTCTCTCCCCATATTCCTCTAGGAGTTGACCAGTTTGATCCTTCTCTCTCCCCATATTCCTCTAGGAGTTGACCAGTTTGATCCTTCTCTCTCCCCATATTCCTCTAGGAGTTGACCAGTTTGATCCTTCTCTCTCCCCATATTCCTCTAGGAGTTGACCAGTTTTGATCCTTCTCTCTCCCCATATTCCTCTAGGAGTTGACCAGTTTGATCCTTCTCTCTCCCCATATTCCTCTAGGAGTTGACCAGTTTGATCCTTCTCTCTCCCCATATTCCTCTAGGAGTTGACCAGTTTGATCCTTCTCTCTCCCCATATTCCTCTAGGAGTTGACCGGTTTGATGCTTCTCCCTCCCCATATTGCTCTAGGAGTTGACCAGTTTGATCCTTCTCTCTCCCCATCCCCATATTGCTCTAGGAGTTGACCGGTTTGATGCTTCTCCATATTCCTCTAGGAGTTGACCGGTTTGATGCTTCTCCCTCCCCATATTGCTCTAGGAGTTGACCAGTTTGATGCTTCTCCCTCCCCATATTGCTCTAGGAGTTGACCAGTTTGATGCTTCTCCCTCCCCATATTGCTCTAGGAGTTGACCAGTTTGATCCTTCTCTCCCCCTCCCCATATTCCTCTAGGAGTTGACCAGTGCCCTCCTCCATGTGAAGCTGCATCTGTTTGTCCAGTCCTTCACCCTGGTCTTCTTCCCTGTTGCCATGTGGCTCTGTATCAAACTACTGGCTCTTACCTCCATCAACACTTGGCTGCTTCGAGGGTGAGTACAGAGAGAGAGATTTAGTGTGGCTGTGTTTCTAACTTTAACCCATTTGACTGCTCAGAGGGAGGGGGGGGGGGGACCCTCGGATGTTCCTAACACACAACTACATACTGTATGAGGGAGCAAGCGAGGAGGGGGTTAGAGAGGAAGGGAGGAGGAGTTATGTCTATGAGTGAAAGAGTCCTTTATTCAGCCAGTGGTTCTACCTTATGGTTGCCGTGGGTGATGTGACCTTGACAAAGACCCTGTTGTGTCTCTCTCTCTCTCTCTCTCTCTCTCTCTGTACGTGTCATCTAGGTTACAGACGGTGGGATGTATGCCCCCTCCTGTCTCCTCTGCTGTCATACTCACCAAAGCTGTAGGCGGGAACGAGGTACGAACACACACCTCAACATACACACACACACAGATTGTGTTTGGAATGACACCCTCTTCCCCATTAGTACAGTTGGACATCGTGTGTGTTCCTTTTTAATAAAGAAAGGTGATTATTTTCTTCCCTCAGGCTGCTGCCATCTTCAACTCAGCCTTCGGAAGCTTCCTGGTAAGACCGAATTGTCTCTCCCTATAATGGTGCGACGTGGGGGCCTTGAGATAGATGGGCATCCTGTGGGTGTTAGTCACAGGACTTTGTGTATCAAAATGCCTCCCACTACAGAAACCGGAGCTAGGCTCCTTCCCTGTTGGCTGTTCTGACTGGAACGAGGCTTTACCAACTTCCTGACTGTTGAGCCTATCTAACGTGTCCCCTATTCTCTGTCTACAGGGAATAATAGTGACGCCGCTGCTGTTACTGCTCTTTGTAAGTATTTTCTACATGGCGCCTTCAGAAAGTATTCACACCCCATGGACTTTTTCCATATTTTGTTGGGTTACGAATTAAAGTTGATTTAATTGTTATTTTTGGTAAACGATCTACACAAAATACTATTGTCAAAGTGGAAGAAGAATTCTAACATTTTATTTAAAAAACATTTAAAAAAAAACAGTAATATATCTTGATTAGATAATTATTCAACTCCCCTGAGTCAATACGTTAAACTCCCTCGTCCTTGCCGATGACAAGCATACCCATAACATTATGCAGTCACCACTATGCTTGGAAATATGGAGAGTGGTACTCAGTAATGTGTTGTATTGGATTTGCCCCAAACATAACGCTTTGTATTCAGGACAAAAAGTTAATTTCTTTGCAACATTTTTTGCAGTTTTACTTTAGTGCCTTATTGCAAACAGGATGCATGTTTTGGAATTTTATTCTGTACAGGCTTCCTTCTTTTCACTCTGTCATTAAATCATTTAGGTTATTATTGTGGAGTAACTACAATGTTGTTGATCCATCCTCAGTTTTCTCCTATCACAACCTTTAAACTCTGTACTCATGGTGAAATCCCTGAGCAGTTTCCTTCCTCTCCGGCAACTGAGTTAGGAAGGACACCTGTATCTTTTGTAGTGACTGGGTGTATTGATACACCATCCAAAGTGCAATTAATAACTTCACCATGCTCAAAGGGATATTCAATGTCTGTTTATTTTTATTTTGACCCATCTACCAATAGGTGCCCTTCTTTGCGAGGCATTGGAAAACCTCCCTGGTCTTTGTGGTTGAATCTGTGTTTGAAATTCACTGCTCTACTGGGGGACCTTACAATTATCTGGATGTGTTGGGTACAGAGATGGGGTAGTCATTTAAAAATCATGTTAAACACTATTATTGCACACAGTGAGTCCATGCAACTTATTATGTGAATTGTTAAGCACATTTTTACTCCTTAACTTATTTAGGCTTGCCATAACAAAAGGGGTTGAATACTTATTGACACGACATTTCAGCTTTTCATTTTGTATTAATTTCTAACATAATTCCACTTTGACATAATGGGGTATTGTGTGTAGTTCAGTGACACAATCTCAATTTAATCCATTTTAAATTCAGGCTGTAACACAACAAAATGTGGAAAAAGTCAAGGGGTGTGAATACTTTCTGAATCAAATAAAATGTTATTTGTCACATGCGCCGAATACAACAGGTGTAGACCTTACAGTTAAATGCTTACTTACAAGCCCTTAATTAATTTTCTTAAAACTGCATTGTTGGTTAAGAAAATATTTACTAAATAAACTAAAGTAACACAATAAAATAACAATAACAGGGGTCAATGTGCTGGGATACAGGTTAGTCACAGTGATTGAGGTAACATGTACAGTGCATTCAGAAAGTATTCAGACCCCTTTACTTTTTCCACATTTTGTTACATTACGGCCTTATTCTAAAATGGATTACATTTGATTATTTTCCCCTCATATCTACACACAATACCCCATAATGACAAAGCAAAAACAGGTTTTTAGAAATTTTCGCAAATGTAGATTTTTATTTTTATTTTTTTAAATACAGTATTTACATAAGTATTCAGACCCTTTGCTATGAGACTCGAAATTGAGCTCCTTGATGTTTCTACAACTTGATTGGAGTCAATGTACCTGTTACTTTATCCCAGCCCCTAATACTGCTACTGAAAGGGTTTTAAAAACCTATCATGGAGACACATCCTCATCCCTTGTTCTTCTCTCCCTCCAGCTGGGCTCGTCATCCTCCGTTCCTTTCTCCTCAATCTTCTCTCAGCTCTTCATGACTGTGGTCGTACCTCTCATCCTAGGACAGGTCAGTACACAGGTTATAAACCCTTTATTAACCTGCTATAAACCCTTTATTAACCTGCTATAAACCCTTTATTAACCTGTTATAAACCCCCTTTTAACTGTTATAAACCCTTATTAAACCCGTATAAAACCCTTTATTAACCCTTATTAACCGTTATAAACCCTTATTAAACTGCTATAAACCCTTTATTAACCTTATTTAAACCCGTTATAAACCCTTTATTAACCTGTTATAAACCCTTTATTAACCTGTTATAAACCCTTTATTAACCCTTTATTAACCTGTTATAAACCCTTTATTAACCTGTTATAAACCTTTTATTAACCTGTTATAAACCCTTTATTAACCTGCTATAAACCCTTTATTAACCTGCTATAAACCCTTTATTAACCTGTTATAAACCCTTTATTAACATGTTATAAACCCTTTATTAACCTTATAAACCTTTATAAACCCGTTATAAAACCTTTATTAACCTGTTATAACCTTTATAACCTGTTATAAACCCTTTATTAACCCTTATTAACCTGTTATAAACCCTTTATTAACCTGTTATAAACCCTTTATTAACCTGCTATAAACCCTTTATTAACCGGTATAAACCCTTTATTAACCTGCTATAAACCCTTTATTAACCTGTTATAAACCCTTTATTAACCTTTCTATAAACCCTTATGAACCCGTTTAAAACCCTTTATTTAAATGTTATAAAAACCCTTTATTAACCTGTTATAAACCCTTTATTAACCTGTTATAAACCTTATTAACGCTATAAACCCTTTTTTAACCCGTTATAAACCCTTTATTAACCTTTATAACTGTTATAAACCTTTATTAACCTGTATTAACCTGTTATAAACCTTTATTAACCTGTTTTTAACCTTTATTTAACCTGTTATAAACCTTATTAACCGTATAAACCTTATTAAAACCCGTTATAAACCTTTTTTAAACCCTTTTTTTAAAACCCTTTTTTAAACCCTTTTAGACTATAAAACCCCTTTCAAATTAACAAGTGGGGACTTTTTAAAAAACCCTTTTTATTAAACCTTTAGACTAATTAACCCTTTTTTAACCGGGTAAAAAATTAAAAAGAAAAAAAAAAAATTAAAACCGGGTTAGACTATATAAACCCCTTTATTAACCTGGTGGGCTTTATAAAACCCTTTTTTAAACCCTGGTTGGGACAAAAAAAAACCTTTTAAACCCTTGGTGACTATAAAAACCCTTTATAACCGGAGACTATATAAACCCTTTTTTAACCGGGTTTAGCTATAAACCCCTTTAAACCTGGTAAAATTTATATAAACCCTTTATTAATGGGGGGACTATAAAAAAACCCTTTTTTAAACCCCTTTTATTAACCCCGGTTAAACCCTTATACAAAAACCCTTTTTTAAACCCTTTTTGGTTTAGACTATATAAAACCCTTTATTAACCGGGGAAGACTAAAAAACCCTTTTTTTAACCGGTAGACAATAACCCCTTTTTTAAACCTGGTGGGGACTATATCCCCCCTTTTATTAAAAATGGTAGATATAAAAACCCTTTTTTTAACCTGGTAGACAAATTAAACCCTTTTTTAAACCCTTTTTTAAAACCGGGTGGGATATATAAACCCCTTTATTAACCCTTTTTTACCCTGGTAGACAAATTTTAAACCCCCTTTATTAACCCCTTTTTTAAAACCGGGGTGGGGAATATTTCCCCCTTTTTTAAAAACTGGTGACTATATAAACCCTTTTTTAAACCTGGAAAGGACTAAAAAACCCCCTTTTTTAACCGGGGTTAGACTATAAAACCCCTTTATTCCCCCTTTTTTTAATTAGACTAAAAAAAACCCCTTTATTAACCCCTTTTTTGGGGGGACTATATCAACCCTTTTTTAACCTTTATTAACCTGGTAGACTTTTAAAAACCCCCTTTAAAAATTAAAAAAAAAAACCCGGGGTAGGGATAAAAAAACCCTTTTTTAAGGAAAGACTAATAAACCCTTTTTAACCGGGTTAAACTTTTAAACCCCTTTTTTTCCCGGGGAAAATTATATAAAACCCCTTTATTAACCTGGTAACGAATATCAAACCCTTTTTTTAACCATTTAAAAACCTTTTTCCGGAACTATAAAAAAACCTTTTTTAAAACCTGGAGATATAAAACCCTTTATTAACCGGGGGGAAAGCCCAATTTTTAAAAACCCTTTTTTTAACCCTGGTGGGACATATAAACCCCCTTTATCAACCCTTTTTAACGGTGACTTTTAAACCCTTTTTTAAACCCTGGGGGACTATTTTCCCCTTTTTTAAAAATGGGGGGGACTAAAAAAAAACCCCTTTTTAAACTGGGTAGGACATATAAACCCTTTTTTAACCCTTTTTTTCCCTGGTAGACTATAAAACCCTTTATTAACCCCTTTTTTAAAACCGGTGACTTAAAACCCCTTTAAAAAACCGGGGTTAGCTAATAAAAACCCTTTTTAACCTGGAGACAAAAAAAACCCCTTTTCCCTTTATTAACCTGGTAAAATTAATAAAACCCTTTATTAACCGGGGAATAATAAACCCTTTTTTAAACCGGGAAAATATAAAAAACCCTTTTTTAAACCCTGGTAGGAACTATATCAACCCTTTTTTAAACCTTTGGTAGATATAAAAAACCCTTTTTTAAACCTGGTGGGACTATAAAACCCTTTTTTAAACCGGTAGATAAAAAAAAAACCCCTTTATTAACGGGTTTAGACTATAAAAACCCTTATTAACCGGGTTAGAATATATCCCCCCTTTTATTAACGGGGTAGAACTAATAAACCCTTTTTTAAACCCGGGGAAAGGGAATATAAAAACCCTTTATAACCCCCAACAAATTAAACCCCCTTTTTTAAAGGGGTAGATATACAACCCTTTTTAAAAGGGGGGGAAACAATAAAAAACCCTTTATTAACCCCCACTATATCAACCCTTTAAAACCTACCTTTTCCCCCTTTTTAACCCGGGGTGGGACTAAAAAACCCCTTTTATCCCCCTTGAATTAGACTTTATAAACCCCTTTTAAAAAACCCTGTAGACTAAAAAACCCCTTTTATTAACCTGGTGGGACTATATAAACCCTTTTTTAACCCGGGTAGACTAAAATAACCCCTTTTTATTAAAAAAAAAACCTGGTGACATAAAACCCTTATTAACCGGGTTTAGACTTTTAAAAACCCCTTTTTAAAACCCGGGGAAAGCCCATAAAACCCCTTTTATTAACCCTTTTTTAAACCCGGGTTTCGTTTTTATAAAACCCTTTTTTAAACCCTGGTAGACATAAAAACCCTTTATTAACCCTTTTTTAACCTGGTGGAAATATCCCCCCTTTTTTATTAACCTGGTAGACTATATCAACCCTTTATTAACCTGGGAAATTTTAACTAAAAAACCCTTTTTTTAACCCTTGGTGGGCCTATTTTAAACCCCTTTTTTAAACCCTGGTGGGGCCTTTTTAAAAACCCTTTAAACCCTTGGTGGGGATATAAAACCCTTTTTTAAACCTGGTAGAATATAAAACCCTTTTTTTAAACCTGGAAAGACTATTTTAAACGTTTTATTAACCTGGTAGACTAAAAAACCCTTTTTTAAACCCTGGAGACTATTTTGAACCCTTTTTTAAACCCGGGTACGATAAAAAAAGCTTTTTAAACCCGGGTAGCCTATATAACCCTTTATTAACCTGGTGACTATTTTAAACCCTTTTTTTAAACCGGGTAGACTAATAAAACCCTTTTATTAACCTGGTGACTAATAAACCTGTTTTAAACCTTGGTAGACTATAGGAACCCTTTTTTAAACCCGGGTTGACTATATAAACCCGTTTTAACTGGAGACTAAAAAACCCTTTATTAACCTGGTAACTATATGAAACCCTTATTAACCTGGTTTAGACTTATAAACGCTTTAAACCTGGGAAACCCTATTTTAAAAAAACCCCCTTTTTTTAAACCTGGTAGACAAAAAAAAACCCTTTTTTAAAACCTGGTAAAACTATTTTGAACCCTTTTTTAAAACCGGGGAAGGACTATATAAACCCTGTTTAAAACGGGGTAGACTATATAAACCCCTTTTTTAATGGTGACTATAAAAACCCCTTTTTTAAACCCTGGTGGGATTTTAAAAAACCCTTTTTAATGGTGGGACTATATCAACCCTTTTTTAAACCGGGTTAGACAAAAAACCCCTATTTTTAACGGGGTTAAGACTATATAAACCCTTTTTTAAAACCTGGTAAAGGGACTTTTAAAAAACCCTTTTTTAAACCCGGGTGGGGACTATATAAACCCTTTATTAACCTGGTAGACTATATAAACCCTTTATTAACCTGGTAGACTATATAAACCCTTTATTAACCTGGTAGACTATATAAACCCTTTATTAACCTGGTAGACTATATAAACCCTTTATTAACCTGGTAGACTATATGAACCCTTTATTAACCTGGTAGACTATATAAACCCCTTATTAAACCCTTTTTTTTAAACCGGGTAAAATATATTAACCTTTTTTAAACCCTTTATTAACCGGGTAGACATTAAACCCCCTTTTTTTAACCTGGAGCCCATATAAACCCTTTTTTAAACCCGGGTAGATATAAAAACCCCTTTTTAAAACTGGTAGGTAGACTATAAAAAACCCTTTTTTAACCTGGTGGGAATATATCAACCCTTTTTTCCCCCTTGGTAGATAAAAAAAAACCCTTTTTTAAATGGTAGATATTAAAACCCTTTATTAACCTGGTAGACTATATCAACCCTTTATTAACCTGGTAGACTATATCAACCCTTTAACCTGGAGATTAAAATAAAACCCTTTTTTAAACCGGGTAGACATTTTAAACCCTTTTTTAAAACCCTTTTTTAACTGTTAGACTATATAAACCCCTTTAAAACCCTGGTGGGAATTTTTAAACCCTTTTTTAAACCGGGTAGCTATATAAACCCTTTTTTAAACCCTTTGGTAGACTATATAAACCCTTTTTTAAACCCGGGGTAGGACATAAAACCCCTTTTTTAAACCCTGTTGGACTAAAAAACCCCTTTTTTAAACCCTGGTAAAAACTAAAAAACCCCTTTTTAAACCCTGGTAGACTATTAAACCCTTTATTAACCGGGGGTGACTATAAAAACCCTTTAAAAAACCCGGGGTAGACTTTTAAAAACCCCTTTATTAACTGGTGGGAACTAAAAACCCCTTTTTAACCTGTTAGGACTATATAAACCCTTTTTTAAACCTGGTAGAACAAAAAACCCCTTTTTTAAAACCCGGGGTAGACTATTATGAACCCTTTAAACCCTTGGTAGACTAATAAACCCCTTTTTTAAACCCGGGGAGACTATAAAAACCCCTTTAAACCTGGTAAAATATATAAACCCCTTTTTAAACCTGGTAGATATTTTAAACCCTTTTTTAACCCGGGGTTTAAAATATATAAACCCTTTTTAAACCCTGGTAGACTATAAACCCCTTTTTTTAACCGGGGGGGACATATCAACCCTTTTTTAAAACCTGGTAGACAAATTTTAACCCTTTTTTAAACCCCTTTTTTAACCCTGTTAGACTATTAAAAAACCCTTTTTTAAACCCCCTTTTTTCCCTGGGGTAGACTATATCAACCCTTTAACCGGGAGCTATATAAACCCTTTTTTAAAACCCTTTTTTAAAAATGGTGGATTTTTCAATTTTTTAAACCTGGGACTATAAAACCCCTTTTTTTAAACCCTTGGGGACTATTTTAAACCCCCCTTTTTTAACCCTTATTAACCTGGGGGGGAATATACCCAAACCCTTTTTTAACCGGGAAACCCTATAAAAACCCCCCTTTTTTAAACCGGTGGGACTATATCAACCCTTTTAACTGGAAAGGCCAAATAAACCCTTTATTAAACCCTTTATTAACCTGGTAGACTATATAAACCCCTTTTTTAAACCTGGGTAGACTATAAAAACCCCTTTTAAAAAAAACCGGGTTTAGACTATTTTAAAACCTTTAAAACCGGGTTTGGGACTATAAAAACCCCTTTATTAACCTGGTAGACTATATAAACCCTTTTTTAACCCTGGAGACTATTGAACCCTTTTTTAACCCGGGTTGCTATAAAAACCCTTTTGTTTAACCGGTGGGGAACTATTAAAACCCCTTTTTTAACCCGGGAAAAGACTATATCAACCCTTTATTAACCGGGTTGATTTAATCAACCCTTTTTAAACCCGGGGAGACTTTTAAAAACCCCTTTATTACCTGGGGAACTATAAAAAAACCTTTTATAGATCCTTTTTTAACCTTTTTAAAAAGGCCCCAAAAAATGACTATAACACTTTTCCCCCCCTTTTAACCCAATTTTTAAAAAAACCCTGTTGTAAATCATCTATAAGCCCTTTTATAAAACACAGAGTTCCTGAGAGACTAGCTAGAGGATACCTCCGTTTCGGAGTCTATAACACTCTATAAAGCCTTTATAACCCCTGTGTGTAGTTCCAGGTGTCCTGCTGGTTCCTAAGGGACTGTTTAGAGAGAGGAGGAATCCTCCGTTTTGCAGCCATCACATTTATAACACCCATATGAACCCCTATAAATGTGTTTATAATCTCTTTATGAACCCTTTATAACCTCCAGGTGTCCCGGAGGTTCCTGAGGGACTGGTTAGAGAGGAGGAAGCCTCCGTTTGGAGTCATCAGTTCTGTGGTGCTCCTGATGATCATCTACACAACCTTCTGTGAGACCTTCTCTAACCCTGATGTTGAACTGGACCACCTCAGCCTACTGCTTATCACCTTCATCAGTGAGTCTCTCTCTCTGTCTTCTCTCTGTCTCTCTGTCTCTCTCTCTGTCTCTCTCTCTCTCTGTCTCTCTCTGTCTCTCTCTCTCTGTCTTCTCTCTCTCTCTCTCTTTCTGCTGTATTTCTCATGTCTGTCTTCTGTTCTGCGTGTCTATGGTCTCTAAAACTCTATCTGATGTGTCTCTATCTCTCTCTTATCGATCCTCTCGTTCTATTTCTGTCTGTCTCATATCTGTCTTTTGCTTGTTCTCTATCTTCTATCTGATCGTTGTCTCTCTTCTGTCTATCTGATCTATGCGTTGTCTCTCTTTCTCTCTCTGATATCTTCTCCCATATTCCTCTCTCATGCTCTATTCTGTGTGATGGTGTACATGCGTGGTGTTTAAAGTATTCTGTCTAAACCCTCTGATCTGATGCGTTGTCTCTCCCCAGTATTCTGTCTAAACCCTCTGATCTGATGCGTTGTCTCTCCCCAGTATTCTGTCTAAACCCTCTGATCTGATGCGTTGTCTCTCCCCAGTATTCTGTCTAAACCCTCTGATCTGATGCCTTGTCTCTCCCCAGTATTCTGCATCCAGCTGAGCTTCATGCTGTTGACGTTTGTCTTCTCCACACGGTGAGTTTAACATTATACTGTATATCTAGTACTGTCCTGCTGCAGCCACTGGCATTATACTGTATATCTAGTACTGTCCTGCTGCAGCCACTAGCATTATACTGTATATCTAGTACTGTCCTGCTGCAGCTACTGGCATTATACTGTATATCTAGTACTGTCCTGCTGCAGCCACTAGCATTATACTGTATATCTAGTACTGTCCTGCTGCAGCCACTGGCATTATACTGTATATCTAGTACTGTCCTGCTGCAGCCACTAGCATTATACTGTATATCTAGTACTGTCCTGCTGCAGCCAACTAGCATTATACTGTATATCTAGTACTGTCCTGCTGCAGCCACTAGCATTATACTGTATATCTAGTACTGTCCTGCTGCAGCCACTAGCATTATACTGTATATCTAGTACTGTCCTGCTGCAGCCACAAGCATTATACTGTATATCTAGTACTGTCCTGCTGCAGCTACTGGCATTATACTGTATATCTAGTACTGTCCTGCTGCAGCCACTAGCATTATACTGTATATCTAGTACTGTCCTGTATATCTAGTACTGTCCTGCTGCAGCCACTAGCATTATACTGTATATCTAGTACTGTCCTGCTGCAGCCACTGGCATTATACTGTATATCTAGTACTGTCCTGCTGCAGCCACTAGCATTATACTGTTATCTAGTACTGTCCTGCTGCAGCTACTGGCATTATACTGTATATCTAGTACTGTCCTGCTGCAGCTACTGGCATTATACTGTATATCTAGTACTGTCCTGCTCTGCAGCACTAGCATTATCGGTATATCTAGTACTGTCTGCTGCAGCCACTAGCATTATACTGTATATCTAGTACTGTCCTGCTGCAGCACTAGCATTATACTGTATATCTAGTACTGTCCTGCTTGCAGCCATACTAGCATTATACTGTATATCTAGTACTGTCCTGCTGCAGCACACTAGACATGTATAACTGTATATCTAGTACTGTCCTGCTGGCAGCCCTAGCATATACTGTATATCTAGTACTGTCACTGTCCTGCTGCAGCCACTAGCATTATACTGTATATCTAGTACTGTCCTGCTGCAGCCACTAGCATTATACTGTATATCTAGTACTGTCCTGCTGCAGCCACTAGCATTATACTGTATATCTAGTACTGTCCTGCTGCAGCCACTAGCATTATACTGTATATCTAGTACTGTCCTGCTGCAGCCACTAGCATTATACTGTATATCTAGTACTGTCCTGCTGCAGCCACTAGCATTATACTGTATATCTAGTACTGTCCTGCTGCAGCCACTAGCATTATACTGTATATCTAGTACTGTCCTGCTGCAGCCACTAGCATTATACTGTATATCTAGTACTGTCCTGCTGCAGCCACTAGCATTATACTGTATATCTAGTACTGTCCTGCTGCAGCTACTGGCATTATACTGTATATCTAGTACTGTCCTGCTGCAGCCACTAGCATTATACTGTATATCTAGTACTGTCCTGCTGCAGCCACTAGCATTATACTGTATATCTAGTACTGTCCTGCTGCAGCCACTAGCATTATACTGTATATCTAGTACTGTCCTGCTGCAGCCACTAGCATTATACTGTATATCTAGTACTGTCCTGCTGCAGCCACTAGCATTATACTGTATATCTAGTACTGTCCTGCTGCAGCAATTAGCATTATACTGTACAGTGCATTCGGAAAGTATTCAGACCCATTGACTTTTTCCACATTTTGTTACGTTACAGCCTTATTGTAAAATGGATAAAAAAATAATAACTCTCAGCAATCTACACACAATACCCCGTAATGACAAAGCGACAACAGATTTATTTAGAAAGTTTAGCAAATATATTAAAAATAAAATATTCATACCCTTTGCTATGAGACTCGAAATTGAGTTCAGGTCCATCCTGTTTCCCATTGATCATCCTTGATGTTTCTACAACTTGATTGGAATCCACCTGTGGTAAATTCTATTGATTGGACATGATTTGGAAAGGCACACACCTGTCTATATAAGGTCTCACAGTTGACAGTGCATGTCAGAGCAAAAACTAAGCCATGAGGTCGAAGGAATTGTCCGTAGAGCTCCGAGACAGGATTGTGTCGAGACATAGATCTGAGGAAGGGTACCAAAACATGTCTGCAGCATTGAAGGTCCCTAAGAACCCTGTGGCCTCCATCATTCTTTAAATGGAAGAAGTTTGGAACCACTACGACATGGCCAAAAGTATGTGGATACCCCTTCAAATTAGTGGATTCGGCTATTTCAGCCATACCCGTTGCTGACAGGTGTATAAAATTGAGCACACAGCCATGCAATCTCCATAGACAAACATTGGCAGTAGAATGGCCTTACTGAAGAGCTCAGTGGCTTTCAACGTGGCACCGTCATAGGATGCCACCTTTCCAACAAGTCAGTTCGTCAAATTTCTGCCCTGCTAGAGCTGCCCCGGTCAACTGTAAGTGCTGTTATTGTGAAGTGGAAACGTCTAGGAGCAACAACGTCTAGGAGCAACAACGGCTCAGCCGCGAAGTGGTAGACCACACAAGCTCACAGAACGGGACCGCCAAGTGCTGAAGCACGTAGCGCGTAAAATTAGTCGGTCCTCGGTTGCGGCATTCACTACCGAGTTCCAAACTGCCTCTGGAAGCAACGTCAGCACACTAACTGTTGGCCGAGCAGCTGCACACAAGCCTAAGATCACAATGCCAAGCGTCGGCTGGAGTGGTGTAAAGCTCGCTGCCATTGGACTCTGGAGCAGTGGAAACGCGTTCTCTGGAGTGATGAGTCACGCTTCACCATCTGGCAGTCCGACGGACGAATCTGGGTTTGGCGGATGCCAGGAGAACTCTACCTGCCCCAATGCATAGTGCCGACTGTAAAGTTTGGTGGAGGAGGAATAATGGTCTGGGGCTGTTTTTCATGGTTGGGGCTAGGCTCCTTAGTTCCAGTGAAGGGAAATCTTAACGCTACAGCATACAATGACATTCTAGACGATTCTGTGCTTCCAACTTTGTGGCAACAAGGCCCTTTCTTGCTTCAGCATGACAATGCCCCCTGTGCACAAAGCGAGGTCCATACAAAGGTGGTTTGTCGAGATCGGTGTGGAAGAACTTGACTGGCCTGCACAGAGCCCTGACCTCAACCCCATCGAACACCTTTGGGATGAATTGGAACGCCGACTGCGAGCCAGGCCTAATCGCCCAACATCAGTGCCCAACCTCACTAATGCTCTTGTGGCTGAATGGAAGCAAGTCCCCGCAGCAACGTTCCAACATCTAGTAGAAAGCCTTCCCAGAAGAGTGGAGGCAGTTATAGCAGCAAAGGGGGGACCAACTCCATATTAATGCCCATGATTTTGGAAGGAGATGTTTGACGAGCAGGTGTCCACATACTTTTGGCCATGTAGTGTATATCTAGCACGGTTCCTATCCTGCTGTTGCTGCAGTCGCATCTAGGATTATGGGGCGAACTCTATTAATCTCTACAGCCACTCTAGTATTATGGAGCTAACTATTAATCTCTACAGCCACTCTGGGATTATGGGGCTAACTATTAATCTCTACAGCCACTCTAGTATTATGGAGCTAACTATTAATCTCTACAGCCACTCTGGGATTATGGAGCGAACTCTATTAATCTCTACAGCCACTCTGGGATTATGGGGCTAACTATTAATCTCTACAGCCACTCTAGTATTATGGAGCTAACTATTAATCTCTACAGCCACTCTGGGATTATGGAGCTAACTATTAATCTCTACAGCCACTCTAGTATTATGGAGCTAACTATTAATCTCTACAGCCACTCTAGTATTATGGAGCTAACTATTAATCTCTACAGCCACTCTGGGATTATGGAGCGAACTCTATTAATCTCTACAGCCACTCTAGTATTATGGAGCTAACTATTAATCTCTACAGCCACTCTGGGATTATGGGGCTAACTATTAATCTCTACAGCCACTCTAGTATTATGGAGCTAACTCTATTAATCTCTACAGCCACTCTGGGATTATGGAGCGAACTCTATTAATCTCATGCTGTAAAATGTCATCCAATGTACTCCGACTGATGTTGTAAATGTGCGTGTTAGTCAGTCTCTGATCTCTCTCTCTCTCTCCTCTCTTGTCTCTGCTTGTCTCTCCTCTCTCTCTCTCTCGTCTCTCTCTCTCTCTCCTCTCTCTCTCTCTCTCTCTCTCTCTCTCTCCTCTCTTCTCTGTCTCTGCTCTGTCTCTGCTCTCTCTCTCTCTCCTCTCTCTCTGTCTCTCTCCCTCTCTTCCCTGTCTCTCTCTCTCTCTCTCTCTCTCTCTCTCTCCCCCCCCCCCCCCTCCTGTAGGAAACAGTCTGGTTTTACTCCAGCAGACACAGTAGCTATTATGTTCTGTGCTACACACAAATCACTCACCCTGGGTAAGTGGACAATTATTATTATGTTTTATTTATTTAACCTTTTATTTTATCAGGGAGTCATACTGAGACCAAAGTGAGCCCTGAATGACATAAATTACATTTAATAATAAATAATATAACACATCAAAATATAAATACATGCAGAAAGAAAAGCACAGTCATAAGAACCAAACACATTCATCAGTAATCAGGTCCTCAATCAGCCTTCTGAAATGAAACTTCTACATTGACCAGATTGTATTTGTAGGGGGTAGATCAGCTTTAATATTGCAGATATATTGTGGCTTCCATCAATATAATTGTCTGCATCATTTCCAATCCCATATATATATATATATTTGTAACTATATATTATTTTAAATATACACTACCATTCAAAGGTTTGGGGTCACTTAGACATTTCCTTGTTTTCCATGAAAACTTACATGAAATGAGTTTGAATTGGAAATATAGCAAAATGAATAGGAAATGAAGTCCTTTACAAGGTTATAAATAATGTTTTTTTAAATTGAAATAATAATTGTGTCCTTCAAACTTTGCTTCCGTCAAAGAATCCTCCATTTGCAGCATTTACAGCCTTGCAGACCTTTGGCATTCTAGTTGTCAATTTGTTGAGGTAATCTGAAGAGATTTCACCCCATGCTTCCTGAAGCACCTCTCACAAGTTGGATTGGCTTGATGGGCACTTCTTACGTACCATACGGTCAAGCTGCTCCCACAACAGCTCAATAGGGTTGAGATCCGGTGACTGTGCTGGCCACTCCATTATAGACAGAATACCAGCTGACTGCTTCTTCCCTAAATAGTTATTGCATAGTTTGGAGCTGTGCTTTGGGTCATTGTAGGAGGAAATTGGCTCCAATCAAGCGCCGTCCACAGGGTATGGCATGGCGTTGCAAAATGGAGTGATAGCCTTCCTTCTTCAAGATCGCTTTTACCCTGTACAAATCTCCCACTTTACCACCACCAAAGCACCCCCAGACCATCACATTGCCTCCACCATGCTTGACAGATGGCATCAAGCACTCCTCCAGCATCTTTTCATTTGGTCTGGGTCTCACAAATGTTCTTCTTTGTGATCCAAACACCTCAAACTTTGATTTGTCTGTCCATAATACGTTTTTCCAATCTTCCTCTGTCCAGTGTCTGTGTTCTTTTGCCCATCTTAATCTTTTCTTTTTATTGGCCAGTCTGAGATATGGCTTTTTCTTTGCAACTCTGCCTAGAAGGTCAGCATCCCGGAGTCGCCTCTTCACTGTTGACGTTGAGACTGGTGTTTTGCGGGTACTATTTAATGAAGCTGCCAGTTGAGGACCTGTGAGGCGTCTGTTTCTCAAACTAGACACTCTAATGTATTTGTCCTCTTGCTCAGTTGTGCACCGGGGCCTCCCACTCCTCTTTCTATTCTGGTTAGAGCCAGTTTGCGCTGTTCTGTGAAGGGAGTAGTACACAGCGTTGTACAAGATCTTCAGTTTCTTGGCAATTTCTCACATGGAATAGCCTTCATTTCTCAGAACAAGAATAGACTGACGAGTTTCAGAAGAAAGTTATTTGTTTTGGGCCATTTTGAGCCTGTAATCGAACCCACAATTGCTGATGCTCCAGATACTCAACTAGTCTCAAGAAGGCCAGTTGTATTGTCTAACTGTAAGTCGCTCTGGATAAGAGCGTCTGCTAAATGACGTAAATGTAAATGTAATGTATTGCTTCTTTAATCAGCACAACAGTTTTCAGCTGTGCTAACATAATTGCAAAAGGTTTTTCTAATGATCAATTAGCCTTTTAAAATGATAAACTTGGATTAGCAAACACAACCTGCCATTGGAACACAGGACTGAAGGTTGCTGATAATGGGCCTCTGTACGCCTATGTAGATATTCCATTAAAAATCAGCCGTTTCCAGCTACAATAGCCATTTACAACATTAACAATGTCTACACTGTATTTCTGATCAATTTGATGTTATTTTAATGGACAAAAAATGTGCTTTTCTTTCGAAAAAAATGACATTTCTAAGTGACCCCAAACTTTTTTGAATGGTAGTGTACATTTTAGAAAACATTTCAGAGATAAGAAAGATCTTAGCTGAGAGTTAATCAAGGATTCTAATATTTTAGCTAGGCAAGAAAGTTTAGAAATAGGCAGATCATTATTTAGGTCAGAGGTCAAGGGTCACCACCTTTTGTGAAGGGGGAGTACATGGGCCACCTTCCAAACCTTGGTGATAGTACCAGATATATAGTGCCTTGCAAAAGTATTCATCCCCCTTGGCGTTTTTCCAATTTTGTTGCATTACAACCTGTAATTTTAAATAGATTTTTATTTGGATTTCATGTAATGGACATACACAAAATAGTCCAAATTGGTGAATTGAAATGAAAAAAATAACTTGTTTCAAAAAATTATAAAAAATAAATAACGGAAAAGTGGTGCGTGCATATGTATTCACCCCCTTTGCTATGAAGCCTCTAAATAAGATCTGGTGCAACCAATTACCTTCAGAAGTCACATAATTAGTTAGATTGCACACAGGTGGACTTTATTTAAGTGTCACATGATCTCCATGTCTCATTATATATACACCTGTTCTGAAAGGCCCCAGAGTCTGCAACACCACTAAGCAAGGGGCACCACCAAGCAAGCGGCACCATGAAGACCAAGGAGCTCTCCAAACAGGTCAGGGACAAAGTTGTGGAGAAGTACAGATCAGGGTTGGGTTATAAAAAAATTATCCGAAACTTTGAACATCCCACGGAGCACCATTTTAAATCCACTATTAAAAAATTTAAAGAATATGGCACCACAACAAACCTGCCAAGAGAGGGCCGCCCACCAAAACTCACGGACCAGGCAAGGAGGGCATTAATCAGAGGTAACAAAGAGACCAAAGATAACCCTGAAGGAGCTGCAAAGCTCCACAGCGGAGATTGGAGTATCTGTCCATAGGACCACTTTAAGCCGTACACTCCACAGAGCTGGGCTTTACGGAAGAGTGGCCAGAAAAAAGCCATTTCTTAAAGAAAAAAATAAGCAAACACGTTTGGTGTTCGCCAAAAGGCATGTGGGAGACTCCCCAAACATATGGAAGAAGGTACTCTGGTCAGATGAGACTAAAATTGAGCTTTTTGGCCATCAAGGAAAACACAATGTCTGGCGCAAACAGAACACCTCTCATCACCCCGAGAACACCATCCCCACTGTGAAGCATGGTGGTGGCAGCATCATGCAGTGGGGATGTTTTTCATAGGCAGGGACTGGGAAACTGGTCAGAATTGAAGGAATGATGGATGGCGCTAAATACAGGGAAATTCTGGAGGGAAACCTGTTTCAGTCTTCCAGAGATTTGAGACTGGGAGGGAGGTTCACCTTCCAGCAGAACAATGACCCTAACATAACCACAAATACGTGTATTCTGGTTTATGGACACAGCTACAACCAGGAGCTTGAATTTCTTGGGAACAGAAATATTTTTGTTGACCAACTTTACTAACTGTAAAGACTCAATGCACCCACTGTGTGAATAACAAATACCATGAATTAGATCAATTCCATTCCAATAATTCCATTCCAATAATTCCATTCCAATAATACTGTTCCATTCCAATAATTCCATTCCAATAATACGGTTCCATTCCAATAATTCCATTCCAATAATACGGTTCCATTCCAATAATTCCATTCCAATAATACGGTTCCATTCCAATAATTCCATTCCAATAATACTGTTCCATTCCAATAATACGGTTCCATTCCAATAATACGGTTTCCATCCAATTCCATTCCAATAATACTGTTCCATTCCAATAATACGGTTCCATTCCAATAATTCCATTCCAATAATACGGTTCCATTCCAATAATTCCATTCCAATAATACGGTTCCATTCCAATAATACCATGAAAATGATACAGATATGGATCAAGCTGAGCTTGTTTCCCAAATGGTAATAATATGTATTTTCTCTTTCTTTACCCCTCCCTCTGTCCAGGTATCCCAATGTTAAAGATAGTGTTTGAGGGGTATGAGCATCTCTCTCTGATCTCCGTCCCCCTCCTCATCTATCACCCAGCTCAGATCCTACTGGGTTCAATACTGGTCCCAACCATCAGGGGCTGGATGAACGGCAGACAGAAGGTACACAACACACAGAGATATCAGAAGGTACACAACACAACACACAGAGATATCAGAAGGTACACAACACACAGAGATATCAGAAGGTACACAACACAACACACAGAGATATCAGAAGGTACACAACACACAGAGATATCAGAAGGTACACAACACAACACACAGAGATATCAGAAGGTACACAACACACAGAGATATCAGAAGGTACACAACCACACAATATCAACCACAACAGAGATATCAGAAGGTACACAAACACAAGATATCAGAACAAACACACAGAGATATCAGAAGGTACACAACAACAACACACGAGATATCAGAAGGTACACCAACACACAGAGATATCAGAAGGTACACAACACAACACACAGAGATATCAGAAGGTACACACACACAGAGATATCAGAAGGTACACAACACACACACAGAGATATCAGAGACACAACACACAAGATATCAGAGCACACAACACACGAGATATCAGAAGGTCACACACACAACACACAGAGATATCAGAAGGTACACAACACACAAGATATCAGAAGGCACACAACAACACAGAGATATCAGAAGGTACCACACAACACACAGAGATATCAGAAGGTACACAACACACAGAGATATCAGAAGGCACACACACAACACACAGAGATATCAGAAGGCACACAACAACGAACACACAGAGATATCAGAAGGACACAAACACAGAGATACAACACACAGAGATATCAGAAGGTACACAACAACACAAGATATCAGAAGGCACACAACACAACACACAGAGATATCAGAAGGTACACAACACACAGAGATATCAGAAGGCACACAACACACAGAGATATCAGAAGGTACACAACACACAGAGATATCAAGTAAGTACACAACACACAGAGATATCAGAAGACACAACACACAGAGATATCAGAAGGCAAAAACCCAACACTATCAGAAGGACACAACACACAGAGATATCAGAAGGTACACAATCCACACACAGAGATATCAGAAGGTACACAACACACACAGAGATATCAGAAGGCACACAACAAACACACAGAGATATCAGAAGGCACAACCACACAACCACACAGAGATATCAGAAGGTACACAACACACAGAGATATCAGAAGGCACACAACACAACACCAGAGATATCAGAAGGACAACACACACAGAGATATCAGAAGGTACACAACACACAGAGATATCAGAAGGCACACAACACAACACACAGAGATATCAGAAGGCACACAACACAACACACAGAGATATCAGAAGGCACACAACACAACACACAGAGAATCAGAAGGTACACACACACAGAGATATCACAACACAACACACAGAGATATCAGAAGGCACACACAACCAACACCAGAGATATCAGAAGGCACAACACAACACACAGAGATATCAGAAGGCACACAACACAAGAGAATCAAAGGTACAAACACACAGAGTTTCTATCACAGAAGGTACACAACACAACACACAGAGATATCAGAAGGCACACAACACAACACACAGAGATATCAGAAGGCACACAACACAACACACAGAGATATCAGAAGGTACACAACACACAGAGATATCAGAAGGCACACAACACAACACACATAGATATCAGAAGGCACACAACACAACACACAGAGATATCAGAAGGTACACAACACACAGAGATATTCAGAAGGTACACAACATAACACACAGAGATCTCAGAAGGCACACACATAACACACAGAGATATCAGAAGGCACACAAACAACACACAGAGATATCAGAAGGCACACAACACAACACACAGAGATATCAGGACAGGCACACAACACAACACACAGGATATCAGAAGGCTACACAACACAACACACAGGATATCAGAAGGCACACAACACAACACACAGAGATATCAGAAGGCACACAACACACACACAGAGATATCAGAAGGACACAACCACACACAGAGATATCAGAAGGTACACAACACACAGAGATATCAGAAGGTAACAACACACAGAGATATCAGAAGGTACACAACACACAGAGATATCAGAAGGTACACAACACACAGAGATATCAGAAGGTACACAACACACAGAGATATCAGAAGGTACACAACACAACACACAGAGATATCAGAAGGTACACAACACAGAGATATCAGAAGGTACACAACACACAGAGATATCAGAAGGTACACAACACACAGAGATATCAGAAGGTACACAACACAACACACAGAGATATCAGAAGGTACACAACACAACACACAGAGATATCAGAAGGTACACAACACACAGAGATATCTATCTATCTATCACACCAGCCTTATCTAACTGGGTCCCTCCGTTCTCTTCTCCCTGGTACAGCCTAGTCTTTTATTGCATTGATACCTCCAGTACTCTACCTGTCCGGTCTGTGTGAGTAGAGCAACATCACCTAACCTGTCTGTGTCTAGCCCATTAACACAGAGCTACTCACCTGGACTTAATTGGTCACAAATGGTGCTAATTGGCGATTTAATTAATTGGTCTTAATTCCTCATTAATTCTGATAGAATGCTTTAATGTCGGTTTGGAGTGGGCAAATCTAACTCGCTTGTGAAATATAAAGTTATTACCAATTTAAATCACTGTTGTTTTGGCAGGGGAGGGTTTTGGCAAGGGAGGGTTGAACTGTGATGATGGCGGCTGGGTCATTTTTTATAATTGTTACTTTTTTGCTAAATGTAGCATCAACGTCAGTCAACACCTGTTAAATCAAATATTGTGTGTGCGCATCTGTGTGTCCACAGGGAGTGAAGCTGACCGACCTGCAGCCCATCTGAAGTGGACTCGGTGTCCAATTCCCTACACTTCTCCCCAAAGTGTGCACTCATTCACTCCCCCTCATGGGGAGTATCATTTATACTGTGACAGAAGGGACTACTTTCTTCCTCCTACGTATCTCTCTGGCGGAGGGATACATACAGAATCAAAAGTGCCTTATCACAACCACCTGAGACCTCGGGCAAGACTCGCAACAAGTAGTCCTGCGCCTAACTGTTGTGATGGTTACTATGACACAACTTGTATGATGATTCCATGGTTTACTTTTATACGAACATAGAAGTCACTATTTTTTGTATCCCCATGAAGATGTTGTCAACTTCCTGTGAGACAAGAAGTACTACTGATCATCACAGGAAGTGGATTCTGAGACGGCACCACCTGCCATGGGCGGACAGACTGGCTGGGACTTTGTCCTCTTTCTAACTCTTTTTCTGGGGATGTTACGTCAATTATAAGACTCTTTCTGACAATCGGTGTTTATATGGTGTTGGACAACACTAGTTTACTGACTGTTTCTTACGCTTGTTTAGGCTTTTGGGGGGGGGGGATTTTTAAAAAACGTTATTACCGTAGTTAAAGGACAGAGATCTGGTGACGTCTCCCTGTCTGTATTCTGGGGGATGAAAACGTGAAGTGTCTCCGATTTGGCACCCTATTTACTCTGTAGTGCACTACTTTTGACCAGGGCCCGGCCATAGCGCTCTGGTCAAAAGTAGTGCACTGCGTAGAGAATATGGTGCAATTTCAGACACAGACGAAAAATCTACACGTCTCTGATCATGGACCAGTTGGTCTGCGTTCAGCAGATAGAAATATCATAAATATAGCTGCCGTGATTCCTTATTGTACAGGTCAGAGGCACTTCTGTTCTACATTCTATATTTCTATCTGAACAGTGAACATCGTAAACTCGACAGGAATGCGTCTCAAATGGCACCCTGTTCCCTACATAGGTCACTACTTTTGACCAGAGCCCATAGAGCTCGACACAGGGAATTAGGGTGACATTTGGGACGCGGTCGGTGCCTTGGCCCTAACGTCAGTAGTACATACTAACAGATTGATTATTATTTGATCGTTTTCTGATTACCAAACAAACACTGCATGACAATGAGGACCAACGGCAACGTGTCCCACATGGCACGTGACCTATTCCCTATATGGCGTAGGGTGCAGCCTCTCTCATTACTGAAAAGATAGGCCCAAACTGAAAGGGTGTTTTAGGACAGGTGCCGGGGGGGGTGTTCTCTTCTCTTGTATGAATAAAAAGCTGTGATAAACACTGGACTGGGTCTGTGTTCTGTATAGTACTAGTTTACTGTGGAGTGGGTCTGTTCTCTATAGTACTAGTTTACTGTGGAGTGGGTCTGTTCTCTATAGTACTAGTTTACTGTGGAGTGGGTCTGTTCTCTATAGTACTAGTTTACTGTGGAGTGGGTCTGTTCTCTATAGTACTAGTTTACTGTGGAGTGGGTCTGTTCTCTATAGGACTAGTTTACTGTGGAGTGGGTCTGTTCTCTATAGTACTAGTTTACTGTGGAGTGGGTCTGTTCTCTATAGTACTAGTTTACTGTGGAGTGGGTCTGTGTTCTCTATAGTGCTAGTTTACTGTGGAGTGGGTCTGTTCTCTATAGTACTAGTTTACTGTGGAGTGGGTCTGTTCTCTATAGTACTAGTTTACTGTGGAGTGGGTCTGTTCTCTATAGGACTAGTTTACTGTGGAGTGGGTGTGTTCTCTATAGTACTAGTTTACTGTGGAGTGGGTCTGTTCTCTATAGTACTAGTTTACTGTGGAGTGGGTCTGTTCTCTATAGTACTAGTTTACTGTGGAGTGGGTCTGTTCTCTATAGTACTAGTTTACTGTGGAGTGGGTCTGTTCTCTATAGTACTAGTTTACTGTGGAGTGGGTCTGTTCTCTATAGTACTAGTTTACTGTGGAGTGGGTCTGTTCTCTATAGGACTAGTTTACTGTGGAGTGGGTCTGTTCTCTATAGTACTAGTTTACTGTGGAGTGGGTCTGTTCTCTATAGTACTAGTTTACTGTGGAGTGGGTCTGTTCTCTATAGTACTAGTTTACTGTGGAGTGGGTCTGTTCTCTATAGTACTAGTTTACTGTGGAGTGGGTCTGTTCTCTATAGTACTAGTTTACTGTGGAGTGGGTCTGTTCTCTATAGTACTAGTTTACTGTGGAGTGGGTCTGTTCTCTATAGTCTGTGTTCTACTACTAGCCATTCATGGTAATGACCTAACATGCACAGGAACAGTTGCAAGTGGATTTTACATCAGTGGTTTGATACGTTTTTTTATACAAGTGAAAAACCTATTCTTTAAGGGTTTAAATAAGGTTCAGTTTTTTATAAAAAGGGGAGGGTTTTTTGGGGCCTTTTTTTTCTTTTTAATGTTTTAAAAATTTTGTATAAAAGGATTTGTTTGTGGAAAATTTAATGTTCTTTTAGTGGATTTTTAAATTTAGTGAAATTTCGGGAAACTTTAATGGTAATTACGTGAACTTTTAAATTTAAATTACGTGTTTGGGGTTTTTAAAAAATATTACTTTTGATGTTTTTTTAAAATTAAAAATTAAGTTTTGGGTTTTTAAAAATATTTTTCTTTTAGGGTTTTTCGTATATACGGGAGGGTGGTTTTTTTTAGTGTAATTACTTTTTGGGGAAATTCGTATATACGGGTTGGGGGGAAATGGTTTTCATTTTTTAAGGTTTTTTGGTGAATCTTTTAAATTAAAAACTGTTACGTGAGTGGAATTGTTTAATGAAAATTAAAATTTTAGGTTTCTTATACTTTGTGGAATTCGTTTAGGGTTTTATCTTTGTAAAATTTTTTAGGGGGAAATTACTTTTTAAAATTAAAAATTACGTGGTTTGAGGGTCAAAATTAAATGGTTTACGGGAAAAAGTTTTGGTAATTTTACTTTGAAAAAGGTTGTTTAAGGAAAATTTGTGGTTCATGTTACATTTATGGTAATTAAGTTTAGGTTTCTGTATATTTTGGGATCGTTTTTGGAATTTTACAGGGATATGTTTGTGTTTTTTTTTTAAAAATTTTTTTAACGTGGATGTTTGTTTAATTACAGGTTTACGTTTTTTGTTTCTGTATACTTTTAAAGGGAAATTCGTTTTCTTTTAGTGTTTAAAAGGGAATTCTTTTTAGATTAAATACAGGAATCATTGTAAAAGATTTTTAAAGTTTAGGGGTAATATGGGAATACATTTTGTGGTTTTTAAATTTTTTAGTTAAAAAAAAATTTAGTTTAAAAATAAGTGAATACAGTTTAGTGGTAATATCAGTGATATACGGGGTTAAGGTAATACAGTGAATACAGTTTGTTTTAAATAAGGTTAAAAAAATTTAAATTTTACTTTTTGTTTAAAATTAGTGTATCTTTTAGGGGGAATATACTTTAATGGAAATATACAGTGATATACAGTTTAGAGGTATTTAAAAATTGGGGGTAATATACAGTTTAGATGGTAAAAAGGGGTTACATTTTTAGGGGTAATAACATTTTAATGGTAAATACAGTGAAAAATTTTAAGTTAATAATTTAAATTTTAATAAATAAGTTTTTGTTTTAAAAAATTAAAATTTAGGGGTAATATACAGGATAACAGTTTGGATGGTAATATACAGTGTAAATTTTAGTTTTTAACAGTTTAGATGAAATAAGTTTGTTAAATTAAGTTTTTTTTTAAAAAAATTTTTTAAAATTTTTTGGGGTTTAAATTTTAAGGTTATACAGTTAAGAGGGAAATATACAGTGTTTACTTTGAGGGTTTATATCCCTTTTTAGATTTTAATTTTTAGTGTAATATACGTTTTTTTTTGGGTAATATACATTTTAGAGGTAAATAAATTTTGAGAAATAACAGTTTAGTTGATAATTAAAGTGATATACAGTTTAGAGGGAAAATTACGTTAAATTAAAGGGTATTACAGTTTAGATGGTAATATACAGTGATATCATTTTAGTGGAATTTTTTTTGGTAATATAAAAATTTACAGTTTAGTGGAAAAATAAAGGAATACAGTTTTGGTAATATACTTTTAGATGGTAATATACATGAATCATTTTGATGGTAATATACGGGTTTAGATGGTAATATACAAAAAATTTTAATTTTTTTAAATTTAATTTAATAAATTTTTTAAAGGAAATTTTAAGTTTAAAAGTTTTTTAAATAATTTAATTTTGAGGGTTAATAACTGATATACTTTTTTGGTTAATATACAGGGATATACGTTAGATGGAAATAACTTTGATATAAGTTAGAGTAAATACGTATATACTTTTAGATGGTAATATACAGTAAAAGAAATTTAAACATTTTTAGATGTAATATACGTTTAGGGTAATATAAGTGAATACATTTTAGATGGTAAAACAGTTATACAGTTTAGAGGGAAAAATTTACATTTTAGATGGAAATACGGGAAATTAAATTTAGATGGTAATATACATGATATACATTTTTTAGGGGGGTTTAATATTACAGAGATGGTAATCAGTGATATAATTTTTAGTGTAATTTAATTATACATTTTGGGGAAATATACAGTTAGATGGTAATTACAGTTTCGAGGGGAAATAAGGGGGATACAGTTTAGATGGTAATATACATTTTTTAGATGGTAATATACAGTTTGATATACATTTTTAGATGGTAAATAAATTACAGTTTGATGGTAAAACATTTTGTTTAAAAACAGTTTTAAAGAGGGTAAAAAAATTTACAGTGATAAAAAACATTTGATGGTAATAACAGTATATACGTTTAGAGGTAATATACGTTTGTTGAATATACAGGTATACATTTTTAGATGGAAATATACTTTTAAGGTAATATACAGTAAATTACATTTTAGATGGTAATAACAGTGATATACAGTTTAGGGGTAATAACAGTGATATACGTTTAGAGGTTATAATTTTAGATGGTAATATACAGTTTGGTTTAAAAAACTTTTTAGTGGTAATATACAGGAATACATTTTAAATGGTAAAATACAGTGAATACTTTTTAGATGGAATTTTAAAAAATACAGGTTTTAAATTACATTTTAGATGGAATATACAGTGATATACATTTAGATGGAAAAAAGGAAACAGTTTAGCGTATATAAGGATTCAGTTTAGAGGGTTTAATTTACAGGTATCGTTAGAGGGTAATATACAGGATTCATTTTTAGTGGAAAACGGGTAATACATAATACAGTTTAGATGGTAATAAAAGTGATATAATTTTTAGATGGTAATATACAGTGATATACAGTTGTGGAAATACAGGGTGAGATGGAAAACCAGTGTTTTACAGTTTAGATGGTAATAAAGGATATACAGTTTAGATGGTAATTACAGTGTTTTAAAAAACAAAAGTTTAGATGGTAATAACGTGATATACAGTTTAGATGGTAATAACAGGATAAAACAGTTTAGAGGTAATATACGTGTAACAGTTAGAGGGAAATTTAACTGAATACATTTTTTAGAGGGAATATACGTGATATACGTTTGATGGAAATTAGGATTTTTTTT